TGTCTAACTTTAACCGTGGTCATACAAAGACCCGTCTAACTCTAACCGTGGTCATACAAAGACCTGCCTCACTCTAACCCTGGTTATTCAAAGACCTGTCTAACTCTGACCCTGGTTATTCAAAGACCTGTCTAACTCTAACCGTGGTCATACAAAGACCTGTCTAACTGTAACCCTGGTTATTCAAAGACCTGTCTAACTCTAAGTTTAAACAACTGTTAAGTTCATTGTAAAAACCAATGCAGACATATTCCTGTTTTTAGTATTTTACATTGCTGTATAATGTAACTGTTTTTGTTTTGTTTTTATATAATTTCTTCTATGTACTTATAAATAAAGGTTTAACAAATTAATATAACAGAGACACACTTTGGCAATCTGGATTGGTCTTCTGTGCAGACAATACCCCAGCAAGCATCTTTTTAATTCAGAAATCTGACAATAGCAGAGCCATCATTTGCCTTCATCATCCCTCCCACTGGTCGTTTTATACTTCTGCTTTTTTCAAGGTCTTTACTCCCGGGCACAAAGAAAAAAAAAATCATCCATTCAGAATCGGGTTATGATGAACAAACTGTGTAGCAGAAGTTGTTTACAGGAGGAGCAAAAACAAGAAACAACACTGACAAATGGGCACCGCAGTTAGCTTTTGTGAAACAATTAATGTTGCTTGTGGTGGGCAAAAGTGCTCGCGGCCATCTCTCATTCTCCGGTTGTTGTGTATGTCGTTGACGTTGTGGGTTTCTCACTGTGTCAAGAAAGACCATATTCAAATGTGCGTGGCTATTAAACTTTAATTTGCACAACAGATGAATGTCAAGTACAGTGCTTTATCAACAAAATGCCCTTTGTTTCGGCGTGCAAATAGTCGGGCTTTCACCAAAGCAAATGAGCTCTTGATTCTGACATTAACCAACTAAAGAAGGTACATAAAGAAAAAGGCACTTTTTAAGCGTTTTAAAGTTTCACGTTCTAACAACACAAATGTTGCAAAAAAAAAAAAAAACCCAACAACTTCACATTCTGTTTTTCTAATAATCACCCTACTGCATCTGCCTTTTTATTTTGGTGAGATTTAACTTGGAGTGAATACGCTGAGGTTGAATCATCCACAGGGAAAAAAAAAGTGTTTCTTCTCTGTGCATCGCTGTACCTTTCTGAAAAGTAGCAAAGAGACAACACTTTACTACAGAGAGATTAGTGTGATGATGGATGGAGATAACCAGAGGTACTAAAGTATTGCACCTCTCAACACCATGCTAAGGTTTTTGAATCCAAAGACAAACAACGTCCCCATTTAGCTTTGGGTTTAGTGTTGATTCAGTCTGTGTAGCTCTTAATACCTCGATCCTTGTTAAGATTTGTTTACATACTGTGATGCTTAATGAAAAGAGTGCAAGGATAAGAAGCTCAGTATATCTGATACAGTATGAAGTTGTGAGGCTTTGTGCAGGGGTGAGTCAGCCCTCCTCGCTTTCATGCACACACTTGCACCTAAAGTACTCCTGTCAGTAGGGCTGATGACCTCCAGCACGTGCAAACCTGACAGCTTCTTCCAACCACGTCGGCAATGCAGACACAACACACGCTTGCACTCCAGATGCTGATACGGAGACCCAAAGCAGGAAGCAGCTTATACCGAAGCTTGAGCTGATGTTGCTTGACACGGTCAAAACAAAGCTCAGTGTTCCTTCACCGCTACGTTAGGCATCAAGGTTGGCATGTCAGGCCTTACCTGCTTCCTGTTGGCAGGCTCCATGGAAACCCACAGTGACGACGCCACCTGGTCGGTGTCAGCAGAAGTCAGTGTGAGCGGTACAGGGGGAATGTAGAAGGAGGGAGACCTGGAATAGAGAAACTCTTGATCCTCCATAGGTATTGCTTTAGGAGAACATTATTGATTTTCACTAACACTAAATTTGCTGAAGGTTGCCGTAAATTTGCAAAATGTTCTACTGTAAAAACAAATGATCTTTACATTTAAAGCTCACATTTAGTTAGATTTTTATTTCACATTTGCACTGTAAATCAATATGAATGACTCAAATTCATTATGCAAGATGTCAAACTGGTCTCCTTACAGAGTTAAATACTAAACATCAAGTTTAAAATGCATACATTGTGTTATTATTGCATAAATTAATTCTGACTCAGGTCTTCCAAATCAGCAATACTGATCATTAGCAATCTGCTTTTGCTGGAACAAAATCGAAAGGGCAAACAACTCTAGACTTAAAAAAAAGTTTACATGGCAACAGAAGTGCAAAAGACAAAGAGGAGCAGAATGCTTGTATGTGTTTTTATCCTTTCCACAAATTGAGGCCACACTTTTAAGGTCAGCAGAGTGCGAGGAAGTGCAGGGGGTTGCAGAATGTTGCTGGCACTTAGCTCGCCGCACTTCTGAACCTCGCAGACGTCTGTGGCAAGGTCACCGCGGGAAGCATAAATGGGAGATGATGGCTCCGTTGTTCCGTGTCATCCACTGTGCTCTCCGCCGTACTATTACTGAGTGCAGCTGACATCGTGTACATATATGCACAAAGGAGGCAGGCAATGTTAAGCGTGGCAAAAAATAGAGCCCAGCCCGACATTAGGAAGACACAAGCTTCAGTTAGCACACACAATGTGATGATGGAATATAACTGATGCATTTTCTGTTTTCAACCTAAAAGAGCTTTTTATAAGCATGCGTACTTGCGTCCGATGGCATAATAGTGGATTTTTTTTTTTTTTGTATTTGTTCTTGTAAAAATCCATTTTTTCAATGCAGAGAGAAGAGGCCCTGATTCTCTACTGAGAACTTTCTTCTTACTTTGAGAACGCATTGTTTAACTGCAAATTATAACCATAAAAAAGCCTCTGATCCCCCATTCTGTTAAATTAATAGAATTACGCAAAAAATGTAATGATAGCAATTAAGTCTTGAAAATGCAAATTTTATAGTCAAGGACGATTACCTCATTTATAGCATGTGCCGGAATGATGCCAGATGAAGGTAATTTAGATCCGGGTTGCTCACGGTTACATCATGATGAATATGAGACGAGAAGGGGCTCATCACATACCTCGAGTCACCCAACTCGATCAAAGTGAAAGGTGGGGGGTGGAGTTTGGGGGGAATGAGGAACATGTATGCTGTCAGGGACGACTCTTCCCCAGGTAAGAAAGGCATATATCAGAAGGTAATGGGACTGATGGAGTATAAGGATACACGCAATAAGTTTTCTTCTGACCACACTAAAAGTCTGCTCCTATTTATTTATTTTTTACCTCACAAATATGTATTTTAACAATTTACACAGGATGGAACTGTTATGTATTTTACAGCAATTCCTGACATTTCAAACCAAATGGATCGTAACGTACGTTTGATAGAAGTCTCTCACCAAATGCCCTGTCAACCTCATAATGTTCATTGCTTGAGATTAAAAATTCACATCAAAACTCAAATGGCATTTACATGCAGGGATCTTTTTCAACTGTAACTGCGTTTGGATGGGTAAAACACTCACATTAGTTAATCATCCAAAGGGGGCAGCTGGAGACGGAATGAATATTTTATGGGGGTCTGGCTGGTGTCGTGATCTCTATCTAATAGCTTAACATTTCATTTTAGGACTCCCCTCCTTAAAGCAGAGAAAACCAGGACTGTTGCACATGCTGGACTGTGGTGAGTGAGAGCTCCAAGGTTCCCTCTGCACGAGAATGTTTTTGTGAATACTTAAATGTATTGTTTCAGCTTTGTGTTCACAGAGAAACAGTGTTTAGGAAGCCCCTAACATGTATTTTACTAAAATGGATTCTGTAAGAGTAAAATCTTTAAATTCCAACTTTCTGTTTTCATGTGGACAACCTAAACACAGTCCTTTGGTGTTATAGACCCACTTCTATTCTAACCTACAACCACAATCATGGCAGCCACACTGACTCTAACAACAACGACATGACTAGAGGTTGCGTTTATGCTGCAAATGCTGATTATGACTAGCAAAACCTTTGTATTTGTATGACTTCTATGTACAGAGAAGGATACCATACCATACCATGCCATTACATATCAAACCATACCATACCATGCCACACCACTTTATTTATAAAGCACTTAAAAGAGCAACAAGGCCAATCAAAGTGCTGTGGTTGGCACCAAAGGATGATGAACAATGCCTTAGAGCAGGGCAAAATCTCCCCAAAACACCAAATAATTTAAGGCCAACAATTTCTTTATCCCTTGATTGTAATGTCAACATTATATAAACATTAAAAACAAATAGTGTAGAAAAAAATGGGAAACCCCTTTTCACCATTATCCCTTGCTGGATACTAAACCAGGGAAGCATCCATTATACCATGTATTTTGACCAACACAACTCCCAGTCAAACATATGCCCTGGCTTAGTTGCTACAATAACCTTTACAGTACTGCAGTCCTCTTCTGTGCAGTTGTGTGCTGGGGAGGCATCATTAAGAGGAGAGATGCAGGGCAACTTGATAGGCTGGTGAGGAAAGTTGGTTCTGTGCTGGGAATAGAGCTGGAGTCCCTTAAATCAGTGGCGGAGAAAAGGCCCCTCGGTAAGCTACTATCCATCATGAACAATGCTGACCATCCTCTAAATGGCACCATCATGAAGCAGAGGAGCTCCTTCAGTGGTAGACTGCTGTCCTAGCCCTGCTCCACAGACAGATTCAGGAAGTCCTTTGTCCCTCAAGCCATCAGACTGTTCAACTCCTCCCCGTACAGTAAAAAAATAGAGCCTTGTAAATCTGCGGCACCCCGGACACGTATGTATGTATGTATGTATACCGTATATACATGTACATATGCATATGTATATACATGTATATGTGTGTATGCTTTGATGTGTATGTATGTATACATATATATATATATATATATATATATATATATATATATATAATGTGTGTGTGTGTGT